CTAACACACTACCAACTAGTACCTCACCTGCGAACACACACCAACTAACACACACCAACTATCCTGACCGCGAACACACACCAACTATCCTGACCGCGAACACACACCAACTATCCTGACCTGCGAACACACACCACCTAACACACACCAACAAACACACACCAACTATCCTGACCTGCGAACACACACCAACTAACACACACCAACTATCTTGGCCTGCGGTACACCTTTTGTGCTTAACACTCAGGCAGTTGCTGGACGTGTATGACCCTGACCTGCACCTGTTCCTGGAGCAGCAAGAGGTGGTGGGCATGTTCTTTACCTACCGATGGTTTCTGCTCAACTACAAACGCGAATTTGATGCAGACGCCGCCATTAAACTATGGGAGGTAAGCGGTGCCACGGATTTTAGGGTTTAAGGTTTAGGGATCAGACCATTCGGCATTAGGGTTTTAAAATTCTAGGGTTTTAGATTTCTAGGGTTTTAGAGTTCTACGGTTTTAAAGTTCTACGGTTTTAAAGTTCTAGGGTTTTAAAATTCTAGGGTTTTAGATTTCTAGGGTTTTAGAGTTCTACAGTTTTAGAGTTCTACAGTTTTAGAGTTCTAGGGTTTTAAAATTCTAGAGTTTTAGAGTTCTAGGGTTTTAGAGTTCTAGGGTTTTAAAATTCTAGGGTTTTAAAATTCTAGGGTTTTAGAGTTCTACGGTTTTAGAGTTCTAGGGTTTTAATGTTCTAGGGTTTTAGAGTTCCTGGGTTTTAGAGTTCTAGGGTTTTAGAGTTCTAAGGTTTTAGAGTTCTAGGGTTTTAAAGTTCTACGGTTTTAATGTTCTAGGGTTTTAGAGTTCTAGGGCTTTAGAGTTCTACGGTTTTAGAGTTCTACGGTTTTAGAGTTCTACGGTTTTAGAGTTCTAGAGTTCTAGGGTCTGAATACTACTAGGTTCATGCGCGTGTGGCATGTTCACTATCCGTGATCTCGAGCGTGTTCTCAGCATAAGCAATCACCCACTGTGTTCCACTGCAGATTACCTTCTCAGCATAAGCACTCATCCCCTGTGTTCCTCTGCAGATTACCTGGAGCGAGCACATTACGCCGTACTTCAATATCTTCATTGCGTTGGCTATTCTTATTTCGTACAGAGACCCTCTGCTGAGTGGCCATCTGTCTGGTAGGTGCGCTGTAGAGTTTAGGGTTTAGGTAGCACGAATGTGTTCTCGCATCCGCATACGTTGTACTGTGTGTTGAGTTGGAGACTTCTTTGTTCTAAAGCAATGTACGAGTAAATGGGCCATCAGGCATTGTGTGCATGGTTCTGCTTTAGGTAGCGTAGCAAGTGATGTATGTCACTGCCCTAGGCTTGCTACTGCAGATGCATCTGTGCTTGCGAACTTTCTACTTATCTCACTTCTGTCCTCGTGTACAACGTGCGACCATATATGCCATGTTCTTGGTATAGATAG